TCGAGGGAAACAAGAGTAACCCAAATGAGACTGGTGGAAATCTTTACCAAGAAACTCAAAGGACGCTCATAAATTTCTCTCAGCTTCAAGCACAACGAATGCCAAGGATACTAATCCAAGGCTTCGAGAGACACTCAACTCTTCAAAACTTTGTTAATGTCAGGATTCTTCTGGAATATCCATGGCTTTAACAAAAAGAGTAAACATGAAGTCGTTCAGGATTGGATACAAAAAAAAAAGCAAGTTTGAGTTTGGGTGTTTGATAGAAACCAAAGTAAAGGAAGGGAAAGTGGAACAGCTTATTTCAAAGTGTTTAAGAGACTGCTCTATGATTTCAAATTATGAGCATCATAGATTAGGTAGGATGTGGGTAGTATGGGGGCAAAAAGTGTGTGTCACTCCAGTTTTTAAAACCTCCCAGATGATCACCGTATCTATTCTACTCGATGGAAGAGAGGAAAAATTCTTTATCTCTCTGTTTCGCGGTAAAGTTTGGTTGATCAGTGGCAATTCAATGAGATTTTGAAAGCTGACGAGCATTCTCTATACAATTGCTTCATTTCGGTTCAAGTGAATGGAGAGTTGGCAGGTTACTTTGGAAGTGACAGGGGTCTTCCTCAAGGATGCTCACTATCTCCATACCTGTTTGTTATTTGCATGAATGTGCTATCAAGACAAATTGACCGATCTGCAGAGAAACGCGTGATCGGATATCACTCGTGCTGTAAACAAATGAAGCTTACTCATTTGTATTTTGCAGACAATTTGATGGTGTTCGTTGATGGAGAAAAGAAATCAATCGAAGGTGTCTTGAAGGTATTTGATGAATTCCCAAAAATGGCTGGTCTCAAGATAGTTTAGAGAAATTTACTCTATACATGGCGGGTGTATTGGAGTCAACAAGGGAAGAGATACTCAACCGATTCCCTTTCGACTTTGGAGAGCTTCCAGTTAGATATCTAGGATTGCCTTTGACGACAAAGAAGATGAGAGCATCTGATTACCTTCCGCTCATAGAGAATATCAGAAACAGAATCACAACATGGACAACTAGAGCATTATCCTTTGCGGGGAAACTGCAGCTTATTTGATCGGTCATTGTTAGTATCACAAACTTTTGGATCTCTGATTTCATGTTACCAAAAGCATGTGCCCAAGTAATTGACAAACTATGTTCACCTTTCCTATGGTTGAGACCTGTATTGAACTCTAGAAAAGCCAAGATAGCCTGGAAAGATGTTTGCACTCGTAAAGAAGAAGAAGGTTTGGGATTACGGTCTATTGAGGTAGCAAATAAAGTTTGTGTTCTAAAACTAATATGGTGAATGCTCTCATCTAAAAACTCTTTATGGGTGAACTGGGTGAAGAGACAACTAATTCGCAAAGGATCCTTTTGGGCGGTCAAGGACACAACTTCATTAGGATCATGGATGTGGAAGAAGATTTTAAAGTATATGGGATTGGCAAAAGATTTCCACAGAGTCGAGATACGCAGTGGTAATATATAATTATTTTTTTTTCTGGTATGATACATGGAGTGATCTGGGCTGTCTTCTGGATAATGTCGGAGAAAGAGGTTTTCTGGACATGAAAATCCCAAAGCAAGCAACAGTCGGCGATGTATTGGAAAGGACAAGGGGGGGAAGGCATCGACAAGCCATACTAAAGGAAATTAAGGCTGAAACAGAAAGACATGTAGAAAACAGAATGAGTGGCGAAATGGAAAGGAAATAATGGTCACTTCAAACCACAATTCAGTTCCAAAGACACATGCAACCTATTGCGAGAAGCGCGTCAAAGGGTAACTTGGTGCAAAGGGATTTGGTTTTCTCAGGCAACTCCTAAATACACCTTCATAACATGGTTAGCTATCCACAACAGATTGGCTACAGGGGATAGAATCATGGCATGGAGTGGAAATGTCAACATAGGATGCGTTTTTTTGTGACTCCCCTCAGGACACGAGGAATCACCTCTTCTTCACATGCCCTTATGCGAGAAAAATATGGGAAACACATGAAAGGTCTGCTGAAACATCACTTCGTCTGCGAGAGGGATGAGATAATTCACGTTCTTGTGAAGCCAGCGTGTGATAGAATTTCAGCTTATCTTATCAGGTATTCATTTCAAAATTGCAATCCACACACAATGGAGAGAAAGGAACAATAGGAGATATGGTGAAAATGTCTCGACGACACACAGGTTCGTGAAGTTAATAGACAAAAATGTGAGGAATCAGCTCTGCTCCATTGAAGTAATGGAGATAGAAGATATGAAGAAGGATTACAAATTTGGTTCTCAACTAGGTAAGCTATAACTTTTTTTTCTATATTAAAAAGGCCAAAAAAGTGTAAAAAAGGTTATTTTTTATTTTGAATATAATTTACATTAAATTCAAAAAATATATATTTTAATGAAATGATACTTGTTATTATTATTATGAAATGCTTGTGTTTTTTACTTTTTATATTGCATTTTTCTGACCAAAAAAAGAAGGAAGGAAAGAAAAAAGTTCATGTGTAAGCCCAAAATGCTCTTCCTACGGTTCTTTAAAATGATTAGTAATTTGCGATTATTTTGGTTTTTTATCTTTGGGATTAATGATACCTTTTTCTGAGAAAAAGGGGTTTCTTTTTTGGGAGAATTGGTTTTATAATGCCGATTGAATTAGAATTTGTTTTTTTGATGTTTTCTATTTTTTTGTCACTTTTTGACATAGTTACCCTTTTAAATCAGTTATGGCAGTTATAATTAAATATAAATTTGAAATTATATTTTAAAAATTTCGAAAATATCTAAAAAAGAATTAAAATATTTTCGTATATCATTTATGGAAAAAAATATTTTTATTATATTATTAAAATTTATTCTACACTTGGTAGAATGCATGTTCTATGTTCTACGTCCACGTAGAATTCCATTTCTATAGTTCTTCACATATTATACCAGCTTGTAGAAGTCGTTTTCTATAGTTTTTATATATTCTACCGATTGATAGATTATAACTTCTACTAGATAGACTATATTCTACATGTTAGTAGAATACATCTTCTACCTGTTAGACCAGGTTCTACGTTATTGTAGAACGGTTCTTCTAGCTGTTAGACTTCATTCTACATTAACGTAGAATGCATCTTCTACCTGTTAGACTTCATTCTACATTAACGTATAATGTATCTTCTACCTGTTAGACTGCATTCTACATTAACATAGAATACATCTTATACCAAAATCTGAGAAAATCTAGGAAAATTAGTTAACTTCCAGATTTTAAATATTTCAAAAAATCTTTTTTTTTTAATTTTCAATGTTTTTTAATCAGTTTTGACGTTTTTTTTTTTGGCTGTCATCGTTCTCTTCTCCTTCTTTCACATTGATCATGCATGCAGCTAGAAACGAAATATGAATCATGCAATGTAGTAGAAAACTGTAAATCAACAAAACCCCCAAATCAATTGAGAAATTGTAAACCCTAGAATCAAAATTGAATGAGATACTGAAAGAAAAAGTGAGGAATACGACAAGACAGAGGAGAAGAAGAACAAATAAGTTTTTACTTACAGGAAATTGTTTTTGCAGGTGACTCTTACTGGAGAAGATGGAGACACACGGTGAAGAAGATGGAATATCAGGTTTCTCCTTTTGTTTTTTTACGCTTGGTAGAAAGTCTTTTCTACTTGTTTTTTCTTTTTTTTATTAATAAAACATTTTTAAAAATAAATTAATATATTAATTCGTAATTAAAGAGTATAATTGGATTGAATTTAAATTAAACATTAAAGGGATAAATTTTATTTAGTAAACATTAAGGAGACAAATTCTAATTCAATTAGCATTATAAAACCAATTCTCCCTTCTTTTTTTACTTCCTCTTCTTTTTTTTAATTATACGTACTAGGGTTGAGACCGCTCTTTGCGCGGATTGTAGTTTATGTTCATGTTCTTATATGTTTTATATGTTACTTCTTAAAAAATAATTTGTTTAATAATTTTTTTCTTAGTTTAGTAGTTTTATTTTTAAGTTTGTATTGTGTTAATAATACATATGTTCTGTTAGTTATCCTTACTGATGTGCTATATAACAATAAGAGTTTTTTTAATTATGTTATTATCTTCTGTAAATTTATATTTTATGTGTTTTTATATTCTATTTGTCACTATTGTGTGATTCTAATTATAATTATTTAAATCATTCTTATTTTACTTAATTTATACTCCTTGCAACTCTTTTATTTTTAATTAGTTATTATTACGAATTGTTGAACAACTAATTCATCATATATGTCTTTTTTTATTTATTTTATACTCTTTCTCTATCTTCATATTTTCATAATTTTAGTTTTATATTTTGTTCTATTTCCTTATCTTTAACGTCTTTGTCTTCGTATGTTTTAAAATTCTTCTTCATTAGCTTCGTGTTCTTAGTTCTAACTTCTACTTTCTTTTTTTTTCTTTCAGGCTTTCGTCATCTTCTTATTCTGATATTGTTTCGCATTCATTTGCGTATTTTTTTTATATATTTCATCTTTCTTCTTTCTCCTATTTTGCTATTCTTTTTTCATCTTCTTTTATTTGTTTTTAATTATCATCATTTTCTAACTTTTTCAGTTTAAATAATATATTATTAGAACTTTTAATAATATATATATATATTTAATCCAGTTAATATTACAGTTTTCTTAAAGTATTAATATCTAATTGCCACTTATTTTTTTATTTACATTAAATTTTATTTTATTTTATTTTATTTATATAAATATATTAATAATAAAATAAATATATATGTATTAAATGCTTATTTTAAATATGTTTTAATGTTTAAGTTTAAGAGTTTGTTGAAGTGGACATCTAGATAAAGAGAAAACTCTCCTATTATATAATAGATTTTATTTCACCATCAAACCAAAGTTTACTAAAAAAAAAAAATAGATAGCAAAGGCGAAAACCCTAAGCAAACCATCAAAGGCACCGGCACTTTCCTCATTGAGAGAAGGATCACAATGACGATGATATCGGAACTTCCAGAGGATTTGTTAGAAGAGATACTCTTTCGTGTTCCGGCAAGATGTGTGAAACGTTTAGGATCTACTTGCGAACGGTGGAACCGTTTATTCAAAGATAAGAGATTCACAACAAAGCACTTCCATAAAGCCCCAAAGCAGTTTCTGAATCTCATGTTGATTGAATGTAGGCTATCTTTGATGCACAACAATCTCCATCGATTTTTACCTGTAAAGGTCACAAGTGAACTTAACGTAATTGACCCTCATTCTGGTTTTGATCAAATCTGGATTTGCCGAGTGTTTCAATGCGACGGCTTATTGTTATGCCTTACTTATGAGACAAAGCCTAGGCTCGTGGTATGGAACCCGTGTACTGGTCAAACAAGGTTGATCAATTGTAATAAGGAATACGCCACATATGCTCTCGGATCCTACCAAGACAAAACGTCCAACGATATTAGCTACAAAATATTGAGCTGCAATGTTTATGCCAAAAAACAAGAATTCGAAATCTATGAGACTGAGTCTAATTCATGGAGGATTCTTGGGGTCACTTTGGATTTTAAATTAGATTATTTTCATTGGGGCGTGTCTTTGAAGGGAAAGAATTACTGCATTGCTTTAGATGAAAAAGAGCGCGACAAAAATTAATAAGTTTTGATTATACAACAGAAATATTTGAGCGTCTATGTCTTCCGCGTCAGTATCAAACTGATATAATCCGTGTTATTAAAATGCAACGTTACATCAAAGACAGATATGGGTGACAAATAAGTTTACTGAGACCAAAGCGGTGTCGTGGAGCAAGGTCTTAGCCGTGGATTTAGACTCTTGGTATGTTCTTTTGTCTGAACTGGTATTTCTTACTTTTTACACAAATTTTTGTACGTTTTATGGTCAAACTATGTTTCCTTACATAAAGATGAATTCTGTTTCAGTTTCAAGCTTTTCTAGTTCTGTGACACATCATTTCATAAAACATGTAAACATTACAAAGCTTTTTCCTTTTTCTCTGCTCTGGCATAACAACTTAAACTACCTGATCAATACAGGAGTTATGTTTCAGTTTTCAAGCTTTCTTAATTCTGTGGCACGTCATTCATAAAACATGTTTACTTTACAGAGCTTTATTCATTGTCTCTGCTCTGCGTCATTTTCAAACCTTGCTTGAAAGGTCACTATCTATACTGTTATCTAAGTCTGCCAACACTGCTACATTTACATTAATTTGCCACAAGTCTTAACAATTCTACAACCGTATGTCAGAAGGCATCCCGTATTCAAAAATCCTCCTCAAGTCTCATCTAAAAGACCCGAATTTACTTTCACTTAACAGCAAAACCATAAAACAAAATGCCAATAACCTCAGAAATCTATAAACAGTCAAGCCTCTTCCTTGTTCAATCTGCCGAAGGATCTTTCTGCAAATATTCTCTGTTCCTCTTGCTTCTTTGCCAAGGCTTCTTCATCGAGGATTTGAATCGGAGACCATTCAGGCAACTTGATCGAATCCATGTCACGGAAGCTCTCTAACATTGGTTTTGCTCTAAGGGCAGCATAATCACATGCTGTACCCATAGCAGCAAAGATGACAGAGTAGCGAAATGCTCCATGAGGACCTCCTGTAAATACCGATAATATATCAGTTCTAAACTTAATAATGACCTAAAGAGAGATTTACGAAAGATTCATTCCAATTGATTCAGATGGCAGAGTTATTATGTCATTCATGAAAGATTCACATTGCAATTGATTCAGACGGAAAAGTTATTACAATTTGACTTATTGTATCAAATAGCACTCTCATAGTCTCATTGTCAGACTTCTTAAGAGTATTAAGACAGTCAAATCATCAGGGAGCTTCTCATAAAGATTGGATACAAAAATGAGGAAGACAAAGTAGAATAGATAAACGAACCTTGAAGTCGTCCTAGCAAAGCACCACTGAAAAGCCCTCCGATAGCTGAGCTCATCAAATCCTCGTGTTCTGATCTTCGAGTTATTCTCACAAACTCACGAGCTCCTAACAAAAACCAAAAAATTGTGCAGGCATCACAGTGTCCATAGTAACAAGAACAGTTCACTTCTTAGAGAAGATTGGAAACAAACACACGGATCCAATCTTGAGGACACAAAATGAAAAAGAGTGTAGACACGAAGAGATTTTGTTACCGCAATAGCAACCAGCGACGATAGCGAAGTTAGTAGCGTAAATAGTGGGGATATTGGGATAAGCTTTCCGGTGCTTAGACACTAAACCAACTCCTCCTCCTACAATTCCTGCACATTCAACATTCTTCTCAGACAAACATATAAGATGCTACGTCCCTTCTACTACTTATGCTATGATTCCCCAACAAGTCCTGCACATGAGTATCTTCTCAGATAATGGCAATTATTTATTAAATGTTCCATTACTTTTGCCATGATCCCACAATAAGTCCTGCATATGAACATCTTCTCAGGAAATCGCAATGCTACATGTCTTACATGTTCTATTACTTATGCTATGATCCCACAATAAGTCCTGCATATGAAACATCTTTTCAGATAATTGCAATACTATATTTCTTACATGTCCTATTACTTATGCTATGATCCCACGATAAGTTCTGCATATGAAAAATCTTCTCAGATAATCGCAATACCATATTTCTTACATGTTCTATTACTTATGCTATGATCCCACAATAAGTCATGCATATGAACATCCTCTCAGAAAATCGCAATGCTTCATTTCTTACATGTTCTATAATCTACAACTACTTCTACTTATGATCCCACAATAAGTCCTGCATATGAACATCTTCTCAGATAATCGCAATGCTACATTTCTTACATGTTTTATTACTTATGCTATGATCCAAAATAGCAAAGCTATAGAATAATCAGAGCCAAAACCAAAGGCTCTTTGTCTTCATGAGACAGCATAAAACTGATAAATACTCCATACACCACAAGTTAGTGCAAAAATCTCAGACGAATTTATGAAATCTAACTGATTGAGCTGTAAATACCCAAAAAAATTGAACGAGAATCTGCCTTGGTTCTAATTATGGAAACTCGATTTGACTAGAAACATCAGCTTTTGCTATTTTCCAGAGGAATTTTGTGCGACCAAAAATCTCAAATGCTTCTCAATGCGATAATCAGACACGCGGTATAGTAGTAATCATAGTCTTGTGTTTCACTATGACGAAGAGATGAAACAGAATGTAACAACCAGTGAATGAAGAAGAATCAGTGAGACGATAGACGCGAAACCTGCGAGAAGGCTAGTGATCAATACACGCTTCGTCGGAGTAGTTGGCTGCACAATCGGCGTCGGAGGAGACAACGGCTGATTCGTCCGATCACCGGACGCCATTTTCGACGTTACGGAACTCTTGAGACTCTTTGTTTCCTCTCTGGAACGCAGTCCAAATGTTACTATGGTGTCATGATTCGGGTTGATTCAAACCCGGAATGGAACCCTAACCCGCACTTGAATCCGGGCCCGACCTCGACCCGAGAGACCTGGTGGTAACTCTTTACTTAATTGACAAAATGAGCCTACAAGATGCTTCAGACTTCATATTGTTGCTACAATGTTTCGAAAATAGAAAAGTATCCCTTCTAACTGTTCTAAGTTCAGTCAGGGTTTAACTAGGCATTCGGGTATTCGATTCAGTTCCAAATCGGAACCTCGGGTCTGGATCTTTCGACCCATATAGCAACCGATAGATTTTTGGTTTGATTTTGGTTTGGTATCAATTGATTTCGAGTCGGTTCGGTTCTAAGATCTAAAATTCAATAAATATCCAAATTTTTCGGATCTTAAATGGTTCAGATATTTTTAGGATCTAAAAACCCGAAATAAATCCAAAAACTCGAAAATATATCCGAAAACCTAAAATAGTATTCGAGAACCCAAAAATATGTACCCGAAAACCCAAAAATTATAAATATATATATGAAATACTAAAAATAAATTTAAAATCCTGTAATATATCTAATATTTTAGATATATATTTATATTTCGAATATCCGATCGGCTATCGGTTCGGTTCAGATATTAATGAGGAGGAACCATCAAATATTTTTATAGGTTATGGTTCGGTTTTGGTATCTCTATTTTAGTTCGGTTCCTGTTCGGGTATTCGGATCGGATGTTTTACCCACGCCTAAGCTACACGCAACCTCCTGATCTTAATGTTAGTCAGTCTCACTTTAATTTTATTTAATCCGGATTAGTTAACCTATGATTAAAAACATATTGACATGATCATTTATGTTACATAAAACTGACATTCACTCTCTAAACACACTTTAATAATTAAATGACGGTAATTTAAATAGCGGTTGAAGAGGTCACTCTAAATGCTTTTCTTTGGCATACTTTGAACCGTCTTACTGTGATTTCAATCACTTTGGCTTTCCGTTTAACCGCAGCGCCAAATGTAAACGAGTCAAATAACTTCCAAGTTTTATTGGTTCAACAACAACAAAAGCAACGTGAAGATCAAGACAACGAGTCATTAAAAACCTGAGTTCCAGTCAAGGAAGAAGACATTGAACTTCCAAGCTTTATTTTAAACTTTATTAAGGGTTTTATTTATTTCTTCTCTAATTTCTAGATGAGTTATTGTCAACTTATATAGAGGCTCTTGTAAACCTTTAAAGACACGAGTATGATTAATAAAATTCTTAACGGCGTTCCACCTCCAACATTTCAAGTTTAACCCCGTAGTTTGATCCTGGAATGATTGCTATATCTTACTCTTACACATGATTTGAGGTAGAAGCGTGTATCAAAAAACTAAATAATAGTGGAGAAGCTGTTGTAAGATTATATGAAACAGATATAAAAAGAAGTTCCTCAAAACCTGAATTTCGCGGTGAAGGAAGAAGACATGAACTTTCCAAGCGCGATAGCTAAACTCAGTGTTCTAAAAACCGGTCTAGGCCGCCGCTTAGGCAGTGCCTAGGCTATGCATCTATAGACCATGACGATTATCTCCTAGGTGTTGGTATTAAACGTCATTGATATTAAGCATTCTAGACAGCGCCTAAGCGGCTCTAGGCGGCGCCTAGGCGGCTTTAGGCAGCTCTAGGCGGTCTAAGATGGTTCTATGCGGTTTTAGACGGTTCCTCAAAATCGTTATAATCAGTTAACATTTTCTTTTGTTTGGTGCAATTTTTTAAAATTTTAACTATATATAATTAGATTTATATATATTTTAATTTCATAATACATGTTATAAAAACTTATATGTTGTTTTTTATATGAATATAGTGATTGTTTTTGTCTAATTCGAATATATGACATCTTTTAATGTTTTATATTTTATATTTATAAGATTTTTTTGTTTTTTTGTGTAACTTAAAATTTGAATATATGTTTAACAGTTCAAGATTTATAATATATAAATTTTATTATTTATGAACAAATCATATAATTTCATATGTTTCATTCTATAAATTATATAATAACTTGATTTATCTTGTAAACGTCTAAAACGCTTAAGGATCACCTAGATACTGACTAAGAGTTCTAGGCTCTAGGCATTGTATCATCGCCCGCTTAGCGTCTAGCGCTTTCTTTAACAGTGGTGTGAATGTCGGTCCACATTCAGATGTATTGGGCTGTTGTAGATGTTGGGCCGGTTACTATCTTGATAGGGCCTAGGGAGAGCTGCAACAGGTTTTGGCCCAGAAGATCAGTTGCTCAGGAAAAAATCTGTGCAAGTCTGTGATAAGGTTGTTACGCAGGCGATGATCGGTTAAGCTCAAGGTAATGAGCTGGATCTGCACAGATATAAGAGAGTATACGGAAGATTCTAGAAGAGTGAGTAACAAGCAGAAGAAAGTTAAGAGATCTAGAGTGAGAATAGGTTAAGAGAGAGAGTGTATCGTCTTCTACCTCTGTTCTCGAGATGCTCGGTGTAATAGCTCTAGGATCTCCTTCTGGTTTCTTGTGAACATCATTCTAGTTATTGCCTAGTGAGCGAGGTTTTGCGCTCACCAAGACGTACATTGGCCGGTTCTTTGGCCTTGGGAACTTGTAAACCTCTCACTACAAGAAAACATGGATTTAGCGACTACATTTAGCGACTGAAAAATTAGTCGTTACTAGTTCCGACTATTTAGCGACTGATTTGCCTTTATTTAGAGACTAATAGATATCAGACGCAACGTAGTCGCTATATAATTAGCGACTAAAATAAACAGTCGTAACGTAATCACCAAATAACGACTAATATAGCGACTAAAATTTACCAGTCGGTAATTAGCGACTGATTTGTGACCGCAATTAGGCCCAAAAAAAACAAAAAAGTAATTAAGCCCAAAACGTAAAACACTTAACCATTTCTTCTCATTCGTGTTTTTCAGTCGAGAAAGAAACCCTAATCCCCTTTCTCCTTCGATCAACCCTAATCTCCTTTCTTCGTCGATCCGATTTCTCCTTCGATCGACCCTAATCCCCTCTCTCTGAATCAATTTCATTTCTTCTCTAAAACAGTTTCCCCTCCATTCAATCGACTAAACCCCTTCTTCCCCTAACCCTAATCGATACAATCGATTTCATCGCAGATGGGTGCCGCTGGAAGGAAGAGAGGACGAGGAAGAGGAGGAAGAGGTGGTGCATCTTCTTCGCAAGCCCGAACTCCATCCCCTCTTCCTAATCGGTACGATTTCACTCCGGCGAGAACTTCCAAATCTCCGCCACCACTTGTGCGCACATGCCAATCATCGGTCTCGGTGAGGGATTATCCACCGCCTAATCAGCTTTTCCAGCACTCACAGAGTCAACGTCGGAGCTCGGAGTCTCAACCTGCCAACTCTCCACGGTCTCAACCTCGTACCTCTCCGCCGCCTCAACCACGAAGCTCTACACACTCTCATCACCGACCCTCTCCAATGTCTGAAGAGCAAACTTCTCCAGCGTTTGAAGCAACCAATTCTGAAGCGGATGAAAGAGCCACCTTTGAAGAAGATGAAGACCTAGTCCCAGCCAATCTCGCGGAGGACCAGCTACAAATCCTTAATGCTATGCTCACTCAACCTGGCAGAGAAGAGTTTACGACAGTCCTCTCTCCAATAAAGAGGCCGAATACAACATGGTATGCCTCTCTTTCTCTCTCTCTTAACTTAGGCGGAATACAACTTGGAACGATAGATTCACACATATATGTAGGATGTGTAGCTTTGTGTAGGTTGTGTAGCTTTGTGTAGGATGTGTAGCTACGTGTGATATGTGTCTTGTTTGAAACTGATGCCTGTTTTGGTTAGTACTAGTACATATGTGATATTGTTCTCATCGTGATATTGCATATGTCTGTGTATTGGTTATGTGACATGTACTGGTGCATATGTCGTGATATTGATTGTTTCTCTGTTTGTAGGTTTGGTCGTGACAAGTCTTCACTGACCCGTAAGATAACCAAAGTCTTTACAAACAAGTTCGATGGTCCTTTTTATAGCTGGACATGTGTGCCTCGGGAAAGACAGGAACGGTTCTTTGTTAAATTCGCGGTAATGTATTCCCTTTTTTGTAACTTTGATTCAGTTTTTTATCTTTTATGTTTTCTCACTAACATCATATTCTCTCATGTTTTTTGTAGAAAACACACACCTGGGATCCCTTAATAACTGGTGTTGTTCAACAAAAGTTTGAGAGTATATGTCAACAAAGGATGAAAGATATGGTAAGCAAAGTAAGGACATCTCGGGAGCAACCTAATTGGATAGGTGATACTCTCTGGAAGCAAATGACCCAGTATTGGAACACTGAAGAGGCCAAAGAGAAGAGTGCAACCACATCAGGGGCTCGGCTGTCTGAATGTAAGGGTCTTGGACCTCACATACACGTGTCAGGGCAAAAATCATATCTACAAATCCAACAAGAAATGGTAAGTACTATATCATCAGTTCTTTTGAACTTTTAACTCTTGCATCTTGTATCTTGTTCTTTTAAACTTTTAACTCTTGCATCTTGTTCTTATCATTGCAGGAAGAAAAATTGGGAAGACCGGTGAGTCTTGGTGAAGTTTTCATCAAGACTCACACAAAAGCAGATGGGACCTTTGTAGACCGAAAGGCAGAGAGCGTGGCTGAAAGGTATAAGAGTAACTTGGAAGCTAGAATTAGTAACCAAGGTGCACTAGACTCAGATGCTTTAGAGGAGCTAACCGTTGAAGAGGAGAACGACCTTTTTCTCCAGGTAAGTCCTCGTTTTTGGTTTGTTGTTTGTACTTTATAATATAGTGTGATCAGTTGGTTTTTTTTGTTTGAATCATTCTTTTGTTGTTGCAGTCGACATTCACAAATGAAAGAGGCATTCCATATGGAATTGGAAGCCTTTCACAGTCGCATATCAATGGAAAGAGGAAGTACCCGGGTAGCTCTTCAACATACAAGACTCTGCAAGAACAACTAGAAGAAGCTCAATGCAAAATA